CATTTCAATATCAAAGTGAGTTCTCTATTATGCTGATGAATGAAGAAGTGCCCATTAATTTGTCATCGTTTATTAGGCATCGTGACACGAACATAAGGTCAGCTCATCTGTTGACACCCGAAGAGTTACCTCAGCCTGGAACGTTGGTTGCAATAGACGCAGAATTTGTTGCTTTAAACCAGGTACAAAAAAAAAAATTTTTTTTAATTACACGTGATATTACTCACAACTAACATTCTATATTCATGAATAAATGTAGGAAGAGACCGAGATTAGGAGTGATGGCACGAAGTCAGTTATTCGTCCCCGTCGTCTTAGTTTGGCACGGGTTAGTGTGTTACGCGGGGAGGGCGCAAGAGAAAACCTTCCGTTCATTGACGATTACATTGCCGCTTCCGAACCCGTGGTTGATTATTTGACTGAATTTTCCGGTATTCAAGGTAATTTTTTTTTTTTGTCCCGTGTCATGCATGGTTACGGATAATTCGTGATAGTAGTGGATCAATAGTCTAACATCCAATAATGAAACAATCTTTAAAGCTGGCGACCTAGATCAACAGTCTTCAAAGCATACATTGGTGCCATTAAAGGCTTGTATCTTTATTTGTTTATCTATCATGATATTATATTACTTTATTCTTTCAAATATTTCTGTCTTCTTTGGAAATGTAATTATAATTTAATTATTCGTCTCGTTAAGTAGGTGGCGTACAAAAAATTAAGGTTACTCCTCGACCTCGGCTGCATCTTTGTTGGACACGGACTAAAAAAGGATTTTCGTATAATAAGTAAAGTCGCATCCACCACGTTTATCGTTTCGCGACCTAATTTTCAAGATACTTGATATAATTATCAAATTTTTTCCTAGATATTTTGGTCCCTTCTAACCAAGTGATCGACACAGTAGATATTTTCCATATTAAAAATAGAGCTCGGTATGATAACATAATGTTTATATTATCCAGTTCGTTAAAGTCGTCTAATCGTTCGATTTCATTTCCGCGTGCAGGAAAATATCACTTAGATTTTTGGCTTGGTATTTACTGAGGCA